ACTTTGACGTGATTACATTTATCTAGAAATAAGAGCTGGGAAGAGAGTGCATTAAGTTCCACGTTGTTGGTGTAATTATAATATAGAACCAGCATTTATTTTCATCTCATCTTTTTCTTTCTCAGATAAAAAGCTTTTGATTAGTAGAAAGAAACTTAATTTTTTAAAAAGATTTTACTTGTTTATTTGACAGAATCACAGGTAGGCAGAGAGGCAGGCAGAAGGGGAGGAGAAGCAGGTTCCCTGATGAGCAGAGAGCCTGATATGGGGCTTGATCCCAGGATCCTGAGATATGACTGGAGCCAAAGGCAGAGGCTTAACCCACTGAGCCACCAAAGTGCCCAGAAATAAACTTTAAAACATGTTTGAGTTCTTTTTGGTTCTCTCTTGCTGGTACTTATTTAAAAATTACTCTTGGGGGCGCCTGAGTGGCTCAGTGGGTTAAGCCTCTGCCTTCAGCTCAGGTCATGATCTCAGGGTCCTGGGATCGAGCCCTGCATTGGGCTCTCTGCTCAGCAGGAAGCCTGCTTCCCTTCCTCACTCTCTGCCTGCCTCTCTGCCTACTTGTGATTTCTGTCAAATAAAGGAATAAAATCTTAAAAAAAAAAATTACTCTTGGGATGACTGGCTGTCTAAGTAGAGCATGTGACTCTTGATCTCGGGGTTGTAAGTTTAAGCCCTATGGTGGGTATAGAGATTACTTAAAAATTAATTTAATTTTTAAGATTACTTAAAAATTACTTAAAAATGAAAAAATGTTTTTAAAAAAACCCAAAATAACTCTGTCTCCATTAAGGATACCATCAGCTGTGCATGTAGAGAATTCTTAATCTTTGCAAGAAATAAAAGTGGAGGGGCGCCTGGGTGGTTCAGTGGGTTAAAGCCTCTGCCTTCGGCTCAGGTCATGATTCCAGGGTCCTGGGATCGAGCCCCGAATCGGGCTCTCTGCTCAGCGGGGAGCCTGCTTCCTCCTCTCTCTCTCTGCCTGCTTCTCTGCCTGCTTGTGATCTCTCTGTCAAATACATAAATAAAATTAAAAAAAAAAAAAAAAAGAAAAGAAAAGCAATAGAAGTGGAAAATGTCTTAACCCACTTTGGTCCACTTACTCAGTTCTTTTTTGCTTTCATTCTTTCTTCTCACCATTTCCAGAAAGTTTCCTCTAGGTATATTTATCCCAGTTACATAAGATAGCTTAGAGAATTTGTAGGATGCTTGTTGCTAAAAGAATTCTACAGGTTGCTAGAAGAACCTTGGAGGGAAGTTGTGATTCATCAAGTAATCCAAGCTGCCTGGAATGTAAGATGCACACATTCTTCTCAGAGATAGTGTGTGTGAATGAATAGGTTCCCAGGTCAGTGGGTAACAGTGTTGCCACAGAAAAGCATATTCTATTTTATCTTGGGGTGCTATAGTCCATCTCCCTGATTTGTTTCATCTTGGTAACTCATTCATTCATTTATCAAGCATTTACTGAATATTTTTTTCTTCTTTTTAAAGTGTTGGTAAGGGAGTATACATTTATTGAGGTAGTGGAAGGAAGGGAGGTTAGTGTTGAGGGACTGGATCTCAGAAAATGAAAACAAAGATAAATAAAATAATATTCCAGTGCTCACGCAGTTCATGGCTATCTGCTTCAGCTTTTACTTTCTATCTACACTACGTTAGGATTTAAGAGTTCTAGCATTATACTACTGCCATTTGATCCTAAGGTCAGGGATTTTTGCAGTTCAGGTACTGGAGAATGAGATGATTCTTTTCACGGAGTAGAAGCCTAGAGATGAGACTACTCTTTATTTTTTCCAGATCTTATACACTTGCTTCTCAGCCCCCACTTTGCATTAAATGATTGACCTTTTATCTCAGTAATGTGTATTGAGAAATTCCTTTACTTTATTCTCTTTTCTATTCTAGGACCTCGATTACAAAGTTTTTATTATTGTGGTTTTATATATTTTAATGTTAGAATGATTGTTTTGTCATAACTTTTTTAAAAGTTAAGTTTTCTGGATGTTTATGTATTTATCCAGATGGTCACCCCTACTTTCCAAATAATTTCCTTAAGATTTTGATTGGAATTTTTATTCAACTTATAAATTGGCTTACAGATAATTGACATCTTCACAATATTAGGTTTTTCTCCATGTAAGAATAGATTTTAATTGTGTTTTTCAGTAAAATTGTGTAGTTTTTTTCATAAAGTTTTTTGGTTTATTTTTATAGTTACTATTAAAATTATACCGTCTGGCTGTTGATGTTACTTTGGGAAGCAATTTTTGCATACATCTATAAAAACCATTGTAATGAACTTTAATAATTCGAAGATATTTATGTTATTTCAACAAAATTGTATCATCTGAAGTGATGGAATTTTGCCTTCTTCCTATTGCTGAAATCTTTTATTTTTCTTACCTGGATTTATCAGATAGCACCTCCAGAATGATGTTAATAACTCTGTTTATAGTAGAATGGAGATCAGTGTCTTAAGTCTGATTTTGCTTTTAAATTTTATTGATATTTTGCCGTTAAACATGATACCATCTGTTGGTCTGAGAAAGGTTTTTAAAGAGTCCTAAGAGAGATTCTTTTTCTAATCGGGACTAGTTTCTTAAACTTTAGTACCCTTTACTAGATTTATTTTAATTGATTCTGTTTTCTACCTGGGATATGGTATTTTTCATAGGATCAAATTTTCTGCTTTGTTGTCTACTCTCCACTTTTGGTCCCTGTTAATTTCCACTCTGAACTGCCTTTTATATAGGTTCTATTTCCAAATCAGTTTTGTTTTTTTTTTTAAGATTTTATTTATTCATTAGAGAAAGAGAGACAGAGAGACCACAGTCGGGGTGGGGGGAAGCAGAGGGAGAGGGAGAAGCAGACTCCCTGCTGAGCCAGGAGCCAGACATGGGGCTGGATCCCAGGATTTGGAGATCATGACCTGAGCCAAAAGCAGATGCTTAACCATCTGAGCCTCCCACGTGCCCCCCACCCCTGCATCAGTTTTTATTACGTTTTACTTATATTCCAGGGAATTGTAGCACCATAACATCTTTGTGTGTTACGTAGTGAAAAGTCCACACTTCTCAGGTTATTTATGTTTTTTGTGATCAGAGCCTTGCCTTTGCAATCTTCACCTCTGTCAAGAACTGTGAAGGGTTTGAGATCTTACCCTACTTGCAAACTAACCATGTTAGCCTGCTGTAATTTCATGGATCATGACCGAATACACTAGTCTCCTGGTTCAGAGTCAAGTAGCCTCAGTATCATAATTTTTTTTTGTACCAATAACCCAAGTCCCATTTAGGGCCAGATGACACCTGTACACACAGTCAGTTCCATTATAGGGAGAGCAGGAAATTTCATTCTTTCCCCTCACTTCCTTTCCATATCATTGTAATTTTTAAGACTCCATCTCAGGCGCTTTCTTCCATATCCCCCCTCATCGTGAACCTTGTGTCTTTGAATGTGCTGCTTATCTACTGTGTCCCTCCTATTCCAGACACTCCAGCGTCCCTTCTTGGTTTTCACAGTGATCTAACTTAACTTTTTTTCTCTTTTTATAATTTGTAGGTCCTGTTTCTTTCGTTAGTGCCTTCTTATTTACAGGCTGCCTGCTGAAACATTATTTTTCATGTCTCACAGAACCCTTTAGGGCGATATTGGTTAAGAATGTGTTCAGTTGTAGGGGTGCCTAGGTGTCTGAGTCGGTTAAGCATCTGCCTTTGGCTCAAGTCATGATCCCAGGTCCTTGGGATCGACTCCCACTTAGGGCTCCATATCCCCCCTCATCGTGAACCTTGTGTCTTTGAATGTGCTGCTTATCTACTGTGTCCCTCCTATTCCAGACACTCCAGCGTCCCTTCTTGGTTTTCACAGTGATCTAACTTAACTTTTTTTCTCTTTTTATAATTTGTAGGTCCTGTTTCTTTCGTTAGTGCCTTCTTATTTACAGGCTGCCTGCTGAAACATTATTTTTCATGTCTCACAGAACCCTTTAGGGCGATATTGGTTAAGAATGTGTTCAGTTGTAGGGGTGCCTAGGTGTCTGAGTCGGTTAAGCATCTGCCTTTGGCTCAAGTCATGATCCCAGGTCCTTGGGATCGACTCCCACTTAGGGCT